ACATCTTTTAGAAAATTTACCTAGCACTATTATTTTCATCCATAAGGTTAACTCTTAAATTTGTTACATATATGGCGAAAATCGGGAATATTTGGACCCACTATTATCAAAAAAAAACTTAAGTAAGAACGGTAAAAATTTTAAAATTTTAATTTTCAAATGCGAATATCTCATAAACTATAAGAGATAATTTACTGCTATTTTTTATAGTGCTCGATGAGGAGATTCTATATACGAATTTTTTTTTAAATCGGAACTCAAATGAAGAAATAGGATCGTTTTAAAAATTTAACATAGGTGTCCTAATTTGAGGACCCCCGCCGGGCCCCTGGTTAGCTTATAAGGTCCAAATTCAAAACCTAAATTCAAAAACACCTCCTCTTTGTGCATACCAAATTTCATTAAAATCGGATGAACCGTTTAGAAGTTACCGAATTATTTCCCTCTTTTTTTTTTCCTATACCACTGTGTATCGCTTCATTTATGGTATCCGATATTCCAGGTGGGAAGTGAGAGTCCATTAGGAGTTTCATTGTCTCCTCCATATCCTCCAGCTTCCTGCCCGTGTCATTAATCATCATTTTTATCTTCGATGTGTCATTTACGCTATCTACCTGTTCCAGAAGTCTCGTTTGGCTTTTCGAACGATTTTCTTATATTCACCAAGTTTACTACGATACTCGTCCCAGTATACTGCGGTATTTTTACGCCGTGCCCAGTTAAATAGTTTGCGAAGAGTCTTCCCAAGGCAGCAGAGGGCAGCTGTCCTCGAAGGATTCAACCAGAGCACTTGTGAACTTTTCTACTTTGACGTCTATATCCTCTTTATTTCGACATTGAAAAGTGCCCTGTCCTAAACAGTTCTTTAGTAAGGTCCCGAACATTGTGCAATTAGTTTTAGACTTATTCCGAAACTTTATCGGCTTTGATGGTGGCCGTAGTATATTGAATCTTATGTACCGATGGTCAGAAAAGGAGTGCTCGTCTGAAACTCTCCAATCCTGAATTTCGTTTATAAGCTCTTCTGAACATATATTTATATCTACGAGTAGAAATACAAACCTGCGGATGCGGTTGCGTTTTCGGGTTTCAAGTGAAAATTTAAATTAAATGGAGTGCGGCTGCGGATTTGTAGCCATTTTATTGTTTTTTGTTTTTCTATTTCATAGTGTATTTATTCACCACATAACTTTTGTTCATGGAAAGTATGAATGGCATGGCAACTCTAAATTTTAATTTGGTGCGGATTTCTTCAACGTTTTAAGTTGTCAAAACTCAATATAAAAAAATATCCATCTCCGCAGCCGCAATATCGTATGTCTACTCTAATACTTCTTCTCTGATGCTATTGACGAAGTAGCTTTATTACCTAAGTTCAATATGATCAAGTCTTTAGTATTAATGAAATCCATGAGGGCTTGTCCCCTGAGGTTGATGTTTGTGCTATCTCAAGCTACATGGTGGGAGTTGGCATCACAACCTATTACCATTTTCTTATTTTTGCTTTGTGCCTCTTCAACCAGTTTCATCAAATTTGACGTTGGTGGTAGTGTCGGAGAATTGAAGGGCAAGGTATATGTTGCCACGACCTTGCTTCAGCACCATTGCATCCGATGTTGATAATCCTGTTGAGAGGAGAAAACATAAGTTTTTGTGACATAAGATACATATTCTCGGGCGATGGAGGTTTATAACCTCAATCATGGTCATCCATTAAACTGTCTTCCGGTGAGTTGGTGATCACCTCCTCGCTCGTTGGATTTGACTCCTCCGGGAAGCCTGAAGTGGCTATTGATGCATTGGGTACTATTGATGGCACTGCGGTGTCCTTATCAGGTCTTGGAAAAGCAGTGTTTTTAATTGGAACCATCCCGATTTTGGAAAGCTCCGCTGTTCTGTCTTCTGGGAAGTGAGTGATTTCCTCCTCATTTTTAGGATTTGATTCCTCATCGTTACCAGTACAGACCAGTTGTGACAGCACTTTCAATCGGTGCCTTCCCAATATTAGAAAAGGCAGCTGCACTTTTTTCGGGCGAGTTAGTGGTAATCTCCTCGCTTTTAGGATTTGACTCCTTAACGTTACCAGTAGTGGCTAATGATGATGTGGGCACCATCTTAGGAATTTTAGTGTCCTTGTAGGGGTTTGTTGTAACCGCCCTTCCAATCGGCACCTTCCCAATTTTGAATATGACAGCTTTAGAGGCGAAATAAGCCCTACCTTTGTTCTTGGCAAGACTAGCCATGGAGTTCTGGTCGGCCAGTTCAGCGATTTGGTTTCCAAGAATTTCCAATATACGCTCATTAGCCAATTTACTGCCCCATCCTTTCATGTAGACAGTGGACTTTATGAGCATCGGAAGATCCCTCTTCTTTACCAGTCCAAGCTTGTCGCCGTCCCAGGGAGGGGGATACTTTCCACCAAGTTCTTCAGGGTGTCAGAACATGAGATGCCAACCCCATTAACATCACGCTCATGCTGAACTCGCAGCTCACGCTCTCTATTGGTTGTATACCCTTTGAAGCGATTGCGTGGTTCACTATCCTTTTGTTGACCAGATCTCCTACCTTATTTTGCTAGTCTATTAGAATTTTGCCTGTTTGCATAGCAGAGATCCTCTCAGTATCTTCTCTTGCAACTTTAGCGTAAGATGGCGGCTCTTTTTCTTTTCCACCGTCTAGCTTCTCCCTCCCCGTTTTTCGGGACTTTTTTGAGATACCCTTACAATTGAGGTTGATTTCGCCGACGTGTTCGTCTTCCCCCGAGCATTATTTTATTAACAGTAAAGATATTATAAATTGAAATTATACCAATACATTCTTAGAGTTAGGTACCGAAAGACAACTCCTTTAGGTACCAACTAAAAAGCCCCTATTTCTTTATATTGTTTGTTTTACACTTTTATTTAATATTCGTCCAAAACGGATGACATCTATCGAAAGTATAAAGAAAAAATGTAGCGTTATTACAACGTGTGGTATTTTTCTCCACTAAGAAACACTGATCTCATTCAAGGAAAATCACGTAAACTCGGACGTGTGGTCATTTTGACACCAACAACGCCCGTTCTCCTCTCACATTGTAGGTACCTACTTCATCCAAAAATTGTCTATGTGAGTTAGGTGTCAAAATTACACTAACGTACGGACGAGTCCGTAGTTAAAGGTTAAAGACCCCTTTACACGAGCACACAAGTAATATGATCTGTCAAAATTTAGTGCAGAAGAGTACGGATGGGATCGTCTAAACCAGCGTTGCGCGTTCATATTGTTCAAATTACGAAGATTTTCGGCAATTCACACGTACACTACCCGATCGTAAACAAAATTCATAGCTAGAGCGTAAAAATACAAAAAATTATCTTCAGTTGCTTAACAGCATTCAACAATGTAGGTTGATGTCGCTTAGTTTCAAAAATTGCAAAACAATTTGTAAAAACAACAACACAATTTGTAAACAAGAGAATTACTTGCAAAAAACTCGTACACTCCAAAAAAATTTTACTAATGCATAAGAATGAAAACACATAAAAACAGTATTTCTAATACTTTTTTTTACACATTTTAAATAAAAAAACTTTATCTTTGTGAAGAAATATATATGTATTTTTCTTTTCTTTGAATATGTTTTATCTGTAAAATTTACTATTTTACTTATTATGAAATTTGATCATAACAAGCGTAATTAGGCAATATTTTTTCTAAGTGTTTTTTAGTATTTTCTCACCACTACACTAACAGTTTCTTAGCGTCTCTCTTTCTGCGCTTGGCTGGTCTAAACGCAATGTGTAATGAAACCATCACACATTGAGAGAAAATATGGATGCAAAATTTGATAGTCGTATGGCTCTCTTCATTTTTTGAAATGATTAAAAAAACAAGCAAGTCGCATTAGATCAGGGATGTATTTTTATATAAACAGATACAAAAAAAGTGAAACAGCTGTTTCCATCTTACTTTGTTATTGTTTTATACCAATCGTGTAAACACAATAGATATAAATCATACGACTTTTATTCTCTTTTTGGTCATACGGATGGAATTTTACTTTTTTCTTTTTCATTAGACTTTACGTACGTAAAGTGTGATCGTGTAAAGGTCCCTTGTATCAAAAATCTATGGTAAAACCACATGATTTAAACTCGTTTTGTCCAAAACAACTTAAATTTGATCAAAACGCGTCAGTTAAAACATGGAATATGGTTTTCCTAGTTGTAATGTCGGGTTGATCAACTAATAACACCATCCGACAAAAAAATGAAAAAATCGTTACACATGAACCGGATGATATACGCCTGAAACTATAAATTTAATATAGAAAAACGGCGTTTTTAGATTTTTATTTCGTGATCATGTGTCCTTTTTAATGGACTTCAAAGTAAATTTTTCTAAAAATATTTTAAAAAACGTCTACTGCTCAATCAATGCTAAATTTGATGTCGAAAGAACAAGAAGAGTTGAGAAATGTTGTATTATTTTTATTTTATACTGTCAGGATAAAAAGATGTCAAAATGTCTTTTAAAATTTGTATCCTAATATAGATATTTGGTATTCAATATTATTTTTTCAGAAAAAAATTTTGAAGGGCATTTTTGACATCTTTTGATACTACTTTGATGATACTTTGATACTTTGATGAAAAATATTAAAATAACACAAAATATTTTACAACTCGTCTTAGATATTTGACACCAAATTTGGCATAGTAGGGTAAGCGGAAGTACATATTTATAACATTTTTTTTTAAATCTGCTCCTTTGAAATCCTTTTACAAGGAAACAGGGTCACGAAATAAAAAACTGCGAACGCTGTTCTGCTTCATTCAATCTCTATTTTCAGACGTATGTATGTACATATATCATCTGGTTCGTGTCTAATTTTGGATGTCAGACGGTGTAATATAAAGGTATGTAAATATATAGAAAGTTCAGGATATCGTATTTAAAAAAATTTAAACTTCTGATGTAAATAATATTAAAGTAAACTCATTATCTTTGGATGTATACTCGTACTAAGTAGAAGTATGTATGTTTTATTTTAAATATCATTAACATTGTTATTAATCCAAATTTCATGCATGATATTTAGAAATAATTTTATTTAACCTTACAAATTTACAATGTCATTTTTAATTTAATTAAACTTCATCTATTAATATTATGTAACTTTACGTCTGTTAGGATGTTGAATATCAGATTACTTATGCTCATGGCATACGTCTCATATGTACAAAATAATATTATTTTGAGGTAAAATATACTTGGTATGACGTTCAAAGAGTTGTTCGCAGTAGTAGTTCCAGTTGTACTCATGCTGTTATTATTTATTTCTCCATCCCATATAGTCCGATTAAAATGTTGCATTGCAGCTGGTTTTTCATCTATAAAATATATAAATAATTAATTATATTTAGTAGTATATGTTTTAGCAATTAAAAAATAGAATAATTTAAAAAATTTAAAATTGTCATCATTAATTTTTACTTCGCCCATTCAACTATTTAATATGAAATTCAACACGAAAAGATTTTTCTAGCAAGTTTAAATATAAACTTTTCAATATTGAATTCTGTGAACTACTTAAGCTCCCTTCACACAAGTAATATGATCTGTCAAAATTTTGTGTAGAAGAGAACGGATGGGATCTATGTAATAAAACCATCATACATTGAGAGAAAGTACGGATGGAATATTTGACAGTCGCTCTATACATTTTTTAAATGATTCGAAAATAAGCAAGTCGTATTAGATCAGGAATGTATTTTTATGTAAACGCAAAGAAGAAAAGGAAAACAGCTGTTTTCAGCGTACTTTGTTAATGTTTTATACCAATAGTGTAAACACAAAAAAAAAAATAATCATACGACTTTTATTCTCATTTTTTGTCATAGGGATGGAATATCGTTTTACTTTTTCATTAGACTTTACGTACGTAAAGTGTGATCGTGTGTAGGCATTTGGAAGATTGATGGATGACTAATCTGCAAACTGAGTCTACTTTCTATGTCCTAAAACTGATTAATAAGTTGCGCGCTTAAATATAATCATAAATATGTATGTAGGTTAGAGGTGTCCAAAAATATCGATTTTGCTCAGATGGGTCTTATTTTGTTTATTAGTGTCTAACACTCTGGTGTTAAATTTTAGTCAAATCGGATAACGATAACCCGTGCCGGATATCGATTAAAAAGTGTACAATTGGGAAACAATAGGACTTTTTTATTTTTCTTAACATTTCGTCCATATTTTTGAGAAAATTATCTATCCAAGAGGTTTACTTATATCAAAGGACAAACAATAAAGTTATTAACAATTTGCCAAGCCATTTATTCAAAATCTATATTTTTTGGACAACTCTAATGTAGATCTTTACATATGAGTTCTAAATATGATAACAAATTTATTTCGTAAATAGCTGGACGCTCATTGCCGGCCATAAATTTATCATATATGGAATGTACCCCTAGACAGCGTTGCCAATTTAACAAATTTCGCATTATTTCCTCTTAGAGCAATATGCGATTTTGGGATTTTTTCCGTTCTAGAGGCGGGGTTATCGAATTTATAAAATTATTAAGAACGTTTTGGGCTATCTAAAATGAGTTATTATTATATTTTGTATTGACTATGCGACTTAAAAATGTTTGTCCTAAATTTGAATTTTATACCCCCCATTTACACTATAGCGAAATCTAGTAAATTATGCTCAAAATATAGATCGATTACACTTAATTTTTTATGGGAAAAATATTTTAAATTTAAAATGGAATTCCTCTATTTAAAAATTTGTTGTTCTTGTTCGTATCCATTTTAGGTTAATTTAGTCGCCGCGCCCATTTGAATCTTATAAAAAACATATGTATATGTAGCGACAAAAATAATTTTTTAAGATAAATGCGAGTGTATTATTTTAACATGCATCATAATGTTCGATGATAAAATAGTTTATTTTCAAAGCAACTGCCGCACCCACTATAGATTACATTTTTGTAGGACGTGCACGCCTACTGTTTTAATTCCGCCCGATATAAATTACGTAATATTAAAATCAAATTTTCTGTAAATTTTTTTGAAAAGATTTCATTTAAATTTTATTATTTATTAGTGGGCGTGGCATCCCACTATTCATATTCCGCCCAATTTTAATAATTAATACTAAATGATGTTATCCTGAATTAGTTAATTCTTGCTATGTTTTGATACTATCAATTAAATTTGTATGGACATATTGGATGGTTCAACACCCACTTTATGACCCCGTCCATTTTAGTTTGAACTATATGTACATAATGGTAATAGAGTAATAATTACAAAGTTTTTCATATTTTGATATTAAGAAGATACTATGAAAATTTCAGGAAAATCGGTATAACTGCAAGGTCCCTTTAGATTGCATAGGCTAAAAAATTTTGGGAAAAGGCGAAACCCAGAAACCGAAGTATACTTTTCTAAAGGATTGTGCAGCACTGAATCCGAATCTGGCCGCAGAATTTATCCATCACATCAGGTAACTCGAAAATGTGTAATACAAAACCTCCATTACATCAGGTTTGAGAATATTTTTATACCCTTCACCTTCGTGAGAAGGGTATATATAAGTTTCTCATTCCGTTTGTAATTTCTATAATATAATTTTCCGACCCCATAAAGTATATATATTCTGGATCCTAATAGATAGCGGAGTTGATTAAGCTATGTCCGTCTGTCCGTCTGTGTGTTTGTTGAAATCAGTTTTTAGAGGACCCCAGATATCGGCGAGATCCGAATCTTCAATAATTCTGTTAGACATGCTTTCGAGAAGATCGCTTTTTAAAATCAGCAAAATCGGTCCATAAATACCGGAGATATGAGCAAAAATCCGAGACAACCTCTGAAAATTTCATAAAAAAGACAATTTTTTTCATGCTTTGATATAAGCAACAACACTGCTTATTCATTGAGTATTTCGTTTCATATGTTTGGATGGCTGTGTGTTTCATTGCCTTGTGTATATTGTTTTTGTTTCTTGGTGCATTCAGTTTCGTATGTTTGGATGTCTGTTGGTTTCATTGCGTTGTGTATTTTGTTTTTTTTTTTTTTTTTTATACCCACCATCAAAAAAGATGGGGGGTATATTGATTTTGTCATTCCGTTTGTAACACATAGAAATATTGGTCATAGACCCACAAAAGTATATATATTCTGGGTCCTCATTAAATTCTAAGACGATCTAGCCATGTCTGTCCGTCCGTCCGTCCGTCTGTCTGTCTGTCTGTCTGTTGAAAGCACGATAGAGTCCGAATGGAAAGAGCTAGAGGGTTGAAATTTCACATAAATATTTCTTATAGGTAAGGTTTGTTTGGTATTGAAAATGGGCAATATCGGTCCACGTTTTCGGATAGCCCCCATACAAGTGGCCCCTCGAAAAGCAGCTTTAACAGCCATAACTTGTTTAAAAATACGAATATAGCGATGAAATTCGACATAAGTAAGTTTCTTATGATCAAAAATCAATATGCGAAATTTTATGAGGATCGGTCCATAACTGACCCTACCCCCCATATAAGGTCCCCTTCAGAAAATGACTTTAACGCTCATTACTGGCTTAAAAATACTAGTATATAGATGAAATTCGACATAAGTAAGTTTCATACGAGTCAAAATCTATCTAAAAAATTTTATGAGGATCGGTCCATGATTGACCCTACCCCCCATATAAGGTCCCCTTCAGAAAATGACTGCAACGCTCATTAATGGTTTAAAAATACGAGTGTAGCGATGAAATTCGACACAAATAAATTAAATACGAACCAAATTCTGTCTACCAAATTTTATGAGGATCGACCCATAATTGACCCTACCCCCTTATATATGGTCCCCTTCAGAAAATTACTTTAATGCTTATAACTGGCCTAAATATACGAGTATATAGATGAAATTCGACATAAGTAAGTTTCATTCGAGTCAAACGAGGTTTGATGGTGGGTATATAAGATTCGGCATAGCCGAATATAACACTCTTACTTGTTTTTTTTTTTGTGTGTTTATTTCCAGGGTTTAATATTTAGTTTTTAGTTTTATTTTTTTAAATGTCGACTGAAGTTAGCTCACAAGCTAACTGAAGTCAGTCAACTGTGTCAACGCACTGCTGCAATAACTTGCAAGTGGTTTTGTTTTTCTTCAGCAGCCACACACACAAGCAGCGGCCATGTTAAGTTTTTCAACTCAGCAGAACTGAACACAACGACTGAACAGTAAAAACAGATTTGCGTGTGCTGCTTACGTATTGCTTAGTTCTTGGTTTCGTTTTCTTACTAAGGGACGTAAAAAACTGATAGTTTGACTGGTTAGTACAAATCAAGCTGACTGAACAATAAAACTTGATGGGTTGTTTGTTCAGTAAGACTTTGTTATTGTATGCAATTTGTTTTAAAATATTGTATGTTTTTGTGTTTAAATTTGACAAAAGTAAATAAAGTAATTGATAATTATTGCTAATAGAAATTGTTAATTAATTTAAAATTTATAAAATTATAAATTACTATACTTATAAATTTAGATATTTTCTTTAAATAAAAATTGATTTAAATTTAAGCATTTTGATGATTTTTTTGTGAGATTTTGTTATTGTATGTATGTATATTAGGGTGGGTCGAAAATAGGCTTTTCGCTCGGATCAACATCTAATAGTGAAATTATGTTGTATTTTAACGTCAAATGGAAGACTGTAAAATATTATTCAATTATTTTGAGGGTAAGAGCCCGCGCATCGCCGCCAAAGTTTGTAAATGCGTTTATATGGGAAAAATGGCACTTTTTGGAGTTTTTTTTTTCACAAAATGAGACTTTAAGTATTAATTATTGCACCATTTTATAGCAAAATCGTAATGTCTACAAAATTGCCTTTCCAAAAAGATGGAAAAACTCAAAATTGGTTAAAAAAGTTTTGAGTTATTAAAATTTCCCCCGAGAATTTTGTGATTCTGAAGACATATAAAAGTAAATATAAGAAAATTTTTGTTAGTTTTGAAAAATTTTACAAAAAAATATTATGTTTATCTTTATAAGGTTCATAAATGTGCTAGTACGAATTTTTGTTCAAATTGGATAACGCTTACTCGGTTTAGTCTGTGGTCAAAAAAGGGCCATTATTTTAACAGCATCTCCAAAACTCCATTTTCAAACTTTAAAAAATTTTGTTAAATGGATTATTAAAAATTAAAGTTTTCTATACTGGATAGTTGCTAGGGTCCTCATAAAATTTAGTAGAGAGATTTTGATTTACATAAAACATGTTTGTGTGATGAGCGTTAGAAGTTATCTGAAGGGGGTCTTATATGAGGGTAAGGTCAAATATGGTCTGATGACCACCATATTTTACAGTATACAAATTAATAAAATACATATGTATGTATATTAGGGTGATCGACTCGGTTTTTCAACCAGTTTTAAAACCTGTGTTTTCTCCTTTACAAGTGTCGGTTTTTTCTAATTGTTGATTTTTCGAATATCGAATAACCTGTTTTTTTAACCGGTTTCGAATACTTTTATTTGCTTTGTATTCAAAGATTACTTAAATTAAATTTTGAAGTAAATAATAATACATAATACATAATAATAAATTTTAAAAATATTGGAGACCAGGAATTAGAGTATATTTTTCTAACGCACCTTTGATTAAACTTATTTCATTTTTTTAATTAATTAACAAATTATATTTGTAAAATTAATTGGAATCACATATATATATATATATATATATACTACTCACGACGACCAAATTTTATGGACGTATTCTTTCAAGTCTTGTGAATAAAAATTAGTCATAACTATATATATATATATATATATATATATATATATATATATATATATATATATATATATATATATATATATGTATATATATATATATATATATATATGTGATTCCAATAAATTTTACAAATATAATTTGTTAATTAATTAAAAAAATGAAATATATATATATATATATATATATATATATATATATATATATATATATATATATAGTGATGACTAATTTTTATTCACAAGACTTGAAAGAATACGTCCATAAAATTTTGTCGTCGTGAGTAGTTCCATGTTGGAGAAATAAACACTCAAAGTAAATTTTGCTAATGTAATCTATATACACTTGTTGAATGGCTATAGTCCATATTTGATTGTTGTTCCATTTATAAGTAAAAAATTACGTGGTCGCAATGTTTTTAAACCAAATTTATACAATTTTACAAAAATTGCAGTTTTCTGGATAAAATATTTGCGACTCTTCGGTTATGTAAAATGTACACACTAAATGTAGCACACTAACAGCGTAACTTCAATATACCCAAAATATTGCGAGATCGAAATACTTTTAATTTTACATGTTGAAATCATAACGCCGCGATAAAATATTAGCATGCAAAGATTTTAGAGCGAATACAAATTTTCATTTTTTACTTTCATTTCAATTTCATTTTTTACTTTAGCGAATTTTCGCATTATAAACAAATTTTTAATTCTCAATTTTATCAGTAATCAATCTTTATATGGAAAGAATTGGTTTGCATCAAAAAAATTCAATCAAGGCCTTTTGTGGACTGAATATGTGGGGTTTCTTTCACCACAAAAATCGATGAAGCACACCTAAGCCGCTAATTTAAATTAAGGACATTATACATCAACCGGTAGCTGACAATGATGCTAATAAGAAAATAGATAAGCCGTTCGAAAAAAAACTGCCAGAAAAATATTTGCATCAAAGTTTCTCGTGTGCAGAAAACGCAGTGTTTTTCTAATTAAAATTGATAAAATTATATTCTTTTAGGTTGCTACTAATGAGATTTATAGCAAAATCTATAAGCCGTTCGAAAAAATACAACCATTTTGTATTTAATGCAATTTTTAAAAAATGCATTCGAATATATGCATAAATAAATTAAAACCTCATAATTTTTAATCTATCACACATATTGCATAATTTTTTAGTTAATGATTGTAATTAATATATTAATGCATCATGTTAAATAGTCTATAAAAAACTCTTAAAAACGAATTTATCCACGAATATTTAAAATATTTGGGTTAAATTAATTTGTATTTTGGGTACTTCGTTGTGAATTATATCCACGCTTATATTTTCGAGTTTCAGGTAAAAAAGTAATTTTGGGAATTTTTTTTAAACTATTAACTTTAAACCGCTATAACTTTGGCGGCTTTTGCTAAAAATTATTCACGAGAAGATAATTGTACTTTTAAGATGTTAGACAATGTCCACGCAAAATATCATTGATATGCTATTAAAAAAATTTCATAATTTTTTTGAACCCCAAAATTTAAATTAAAAAGAGAATTTCCCATATATATTATAGCCCAATAACAATAATTAATTTGCGGCCAAAATATTATGGAAGTGTTAGAATGCCTATGAAAATTGTCTAAACAGGGATTTTAGAATAAGCTAGGATTACATAGTTACTTATGTTTAACCGAAGTGTCACACTTTTTTCCAATTTTGTTTTACATTAAAGAAGTAATGTAAATCAGACGACTAGATCTAAAGTTATAATCTTTTAAACTGTTACAAATCCGTTCGGGCCATGTTTTATTAGTTTTTTGAAACTAAGATAACAAAAATAGATTTTGTTATTTATAATGAAAAACCGGTTAACCGGTTTTTCCTGAATTTGAAAAATATCAGCCGGTTTTTTTCAAATGTCAACTATTCGAACTATTCGAAAACCGGTTTTTGGAAAATGTCGAATAATCGATCACCCTAATGTTTATATCAAAATCAATGTATATATCAAAATTAAAATCTGCCATGTTTACAAAACAAAGTTATACTGCAGGTTTAAAACAAAATCTATGAAAATATACCTTGTAGAACATGAACCGATGTACTTGCTGATCGAGCATTTGACGGGGCACAAGTATAATTTCCAGCGTGATGAAAACGTACTTTTTGTATGGTCAAAGTACTTATAGATGCTGGCAGTGAATATCCAACTGGCTGCAAAAACTTTAACGACTGAGCAGTTTTATTTCCTTTACCAAGCGTTTCATCATTTTTCATCGTATTCGCATCTAACACTGTGGTTTCTTTGTGTATATTTGATTTTACAAAAAAACCATTTTGTGTATCATAATTAACCATTTTGTTGTCATGATAC